AACAACAATGGCTCCAAAATGATACTTATCGCTATGCATATCACATAGAATCTTATTTAAGAAATTAACAACAAATAATATACTAAATACTTGTCCCAAAATAAAAATTCAAAATTTTTTACTTTCTCTTTTCAATTAAAAATCCTTCCTTCTTCTTTCTCTATAGTTAATATGATGTGATTGATTTAGGAGATTCAAGCTTTTGGAGTTGAAGATCTTAAATTGAAGTCGTGCGAAATTCTCTTCTTCTTAATCTCTTCTCGGTTAATCAACTAGAGGCAAGAGAAACTCGATGATAAAAAATTTATGGTGTATGATTGTTGTTGCTATCTAGAATCATTTGAATTGTAGTTGGACTTTCATAAATATATGAGATGAGAAGTTGTTGTGAGTTGGGTTCTTTAAAAGTATTTTTGGTGGAAATTTGGTGGATCTTGTTTAATGGTTGAATGTTGCTTGTTGAGCTAAATTTGAACTGTTTATGATATGTGAATGCTAAATATTATGTTGCATGTTGGTCCTTTTCTGAGTTTAAGGTGGATTAAACCAAAATGAGATTCTGTTATGTATGGAAATATCATCACGTTAAGCATGCTTCAGGGTGCTAAGAGTTGCTCAGGTTAAGGGCTCTACCTTGATCATGTTGGACACAATGGGTTAGTGAGAAGCTCTCTGACATGGTCACGCTGAGTGTGGAGATTCAAGGAGCTCGCTAACTTGGTGATGTCAAATCCAAGATGAGTGGTGCCAGGTGTGATCGAGATAGCGACTATCTACCTAGATGATGTTGGACGCTAGTGTGATGATGCCAAGTGTGAGTCAAGTAAATATGTAATTTTTTCTTTTTTCTATATTTTTTTAATTCTTTTAACGAGCTAGAGCATCTAGTTTGTTTTGACATGGTGGACCAACCCAACTTAACCTGTTTTCTCTTTCTTTTTCCATTTTTTTCCCCGTTTTGCCATCTCTGGACAAAAAAAAATGTAATACAAAAAATAGGATATGCACTAAAGTATTTTTACACTATTATTTAATCACAAATGATCATATTTTTTTTGTGACAATTACAAACTATTGCATATTTTGAGATATTTTAAAATGTTAATTAATTCGTGAAATTGTTTTGAATTTAAATTTAAATTCAAAATAATTATTTTATTAATTATTGATATTAAAGTCTAATTAATATAAGTTTTAATGAGATATCATAACCTAATCGTTGTAGTTTTAATTAATTTCAGTAACCAAATATTTTAAAATTAATTAATTTTAATTATCATGATTAATTATAACCATAACAGTCAATATCTCCTACTATTAATATTGAAATTCAGTAGGAGTCAAATATATCTAGTATAGTTCTCTTCTTTGTACTCTCTTTTTTGAGTTAAAAACTTTGTAGTTTTAGGACAATGTATTGCACATCTCAAGAATATAAATCGATTCGTGTTCTGAGCATTCATGGACAATAATTATGAAAAAAACATATATCACATTTTTTAATATTTTTATTATGCAAATTAATTAAACCTAAACTTTACAATTTAATAATATAAAAAGAATTTGTATGTCCTAATCTAGCATGCCACATGTCATTCAAATCAATCATATACGTAGAAGAAGTAGATTCATTTATAGCTTCTGAAAGGTTTAAAACAAATAGTCCTTGATCACAATATCCCTTTTGAACAAACACATTATTCTTAGTCATAATAATTTTGTCAAACTCAATGAAAACTTTAACCCCAACCTTACTTAACAGTGCTATAAAAATTAGATTAACTCTAATAGTGGGCACATGCAGCACATCACTTAAAGCCATTATTTTCCCGTATGTGAGTTTCATAAGTACCAAGGTACACATGTTTTTCTCCATTTTCCATAGAAGTGTAGGAGGTAAACACATTCTGTTACCACATATATGTCTAGTAGCTTTAGAATCAACTACCCACTTGCTCACATCGATCACAACATTTACTTAAGAAACGACCACAACAATAATATCATCTCCTTAAACTAGGTTGGCCCTAGGCTTAGGAGGATTGTCATTTTTTTGGCATTTTATATCTACATTGGAGTGCATAATGTTTTGGCTTTCCACAAACATAACAATTTCCTTTTTTCTTAAATGAGGGGTTAGATGCAACATTTTGTGGGACATTATTATGAAATTTATTTTTTGTGTTGTAATTAAATTTGTCATTGTACCTTTTCTGAGTTGGTTTATCTTCAATTAGTAGTTCGGGTACAAACTCATCCAACAATGTAATATTTTCAGCCTTTAAATCCTCAAGTAGCTTATGGTACTTGATAATTTAAACTTTAATGTTTTTGTCTTTGATCATTATCCAATGGTAGTAGTTGCCAGTGATGAATCATTGCCTTACCACATCCTCATCAATATATCTAAGGATGAGAGATTCCCAAATATCTTTGCTTTCTTTGTAGGAACAATACACATTGAACAAATCATTAGATAATGCACTTAGTAAAGTGTGGCAGCATACCTTATTGACTGGATTTCAATCTTCAATCTATTTGGTCGTTGCTGCCTCCAACAACCCACAACGTAGCATGCTACAAATCTTCTTTCTTTGGAGCACCAACACCAATCTCAAAAGGTCAGTGACAACACCAATACTTGTGACTAGTAGCAAATTTGGCATCTTTGTTGCATTTGATTTCTTCGTCCAAATAAATTTAACACCTGTTTTAAATGTTCACATTTGACTTTGAATGCCCCAACAATGGCTGGAGAGATTGCTTGTCTACGCCAATCCCAAATTTGGTTTGAGCATCTTTGACCACGATGCTCTTGTTCCCGACTCTTGCTTTTAAATCCTTGATCAATTTCATCATCCAAACAAAACAAAATTAGCATTAATGTAGCATAAAATCAAAATCAAAAGAATAAATAATTTTATTAATGACATTCCTTTTAGACGTGATCGATTTTAGACAAACAATTTGTGTTGTTGACTTTACTTCTCAATCATATGCCATCATTTAGAATCGGAATTTCAATGAGTCTTAAGATTTACAAGACCAAGTGCACTTAGTTGTGATGATGTATTTTGTTGAGAATTTTTATAGATAACTATAAGTTATTTAGATTGTTGTCCATGAATGCTCGGAACACAAACGAATTTGTACTCTTGAAGTGTGCAATACACACTGCTAAAGAACTTATCTGTAGACTAATATGAAAGTCTCCTCAATATAGTAAGAGATACCGATCATTGTGACTATAATTAATCACGATAATTAAAATTAATTAATTTTAAAATATTTGATCATTAAAATTAATTAAAACTATAATAATTAGACTATTATATCTTATCAAAACTAATATTAATTAGATTTTAATACTAGTAATTAATAAAATAATTCTTTTATTTAAATTTAAATTCAAAATAATTTCACGAACTAATTAACCTTTTCAAATATCTCAAAATATACAACACAATATATATTATAGTTTTTACTTTAATAATAATTATGTTACAAAAATACTAAATAAGTTTTTAATTAGTTAGTGTAAAAAATGTTATTATTGAAAATATATACTCATTAAATTCGATGTAAATACACTTTAACAATATTAAATTAATTAAACTAAATTATATATTTTAATATATAAAGTACATATAATATAATATAATATTTGCGTATTTCAAGAGAAGAAAATATAATTTGTTAAAAATTCAAAACCATTATACTAATATTGCCAGTACCATTGCATATAATATTTAGTTATTTATTTTATTAAGTTGTAAATATTCAAAATTTTCTTCTCATATCCTACAGGGTACACAGTACATGATTTCCCCATTAAATACATAAATTAAAAATATAACATAACGCTCTCAAGAGTCAAGACGCGCTACCGTTGCCCCCACGAATCCGCTTTCTTCAAGACCCTCAAATCCATGGAATTAAGTGCCCATTATTAATTAAATATATCTAATTAACTTCATTTTTCTCCGTAACCTACCCTAAATGGTAAAGATCCTGCCACGTGGCTAAACATTCTTTCATCATCGTTGGACAGGAAAAAAAGTTGTCAAAGATACAAAACTGCTTTTATTTTTGGTTGGCTAAGGTTAATTTTGACATTGATATCTCCTTCTTGTTTCAGAAGTGGTCACACTGTGCACAATGTTTTCTTTATTATCTAAATAAGTTGTTGCAATATTTCTCAATAAAAAAAAATCATTCATTCACTGCATTCAAAATTCAAATAATATTTTAAAAGATATTAAAAGGTTATCAAAAAACAAAAAAAAACCCAGACAGCAACCATGGAACATAATATTTGGAGGAGCCACCTGGTGGTGTGGTTAGGAGAAATTGGCATATTTGCAAATGAAGTGGGGTCATTGCCGTCAAAGGACATAAGTAATCATGTTTAGACTTTTAAGCCTCTATATTATTACATTTTTATTTAAGACTTATACTTTTTCTTAACAATTTTTTTATTCAAGTAAATTACAATTTTACAATTACAATTTCTGTCGTGTATCAAAATTCTTTTATGTCATAATAGAATTAGAGTGTGTCTGGATACACGTTTGAAAACCACGTTAATGGAGAGGTAAAAAATTTTGGCTTCTTATTTTCACGTTTTTGATCTCGGATGGACGTGATTAAATGTGTGAAAACGTATTTCCAAACACACTATTATTTTTGATCCAATAAAGTAGAAAATACATGGGGAAAAAGTGTTGCTTATAAAAAAGATCGAAAGCATTGTTTTATTGGAATCTTCTTGCAGCAAAACAAAATTTTTCACTTTTTTTTTTTTAAATGAGAAAGCCTTCTTATCAGCATTTATTTTACACACCTGATATTTTTGTTGGTACACACTGAAAAGGGGTATTAATGTACTTTAATATTTATATTACAACGTTTTTATTTTAACAAGAAGAACTTGAAACAAAATCATTTATATGTGAATAGGGACACTTTTATTCTGTTTCCCATTTCCCTTTCTTGCTCTTTTCCTCACACTCACAGTCACAGCACATTGCCTTTCTGTCTTTTATTATCATTATCATTATTTTTTCCTGGTTGCTTTGCTGGTGAGTACAAGTGTAGTGTGAATCTAGAACTCCATAAGTAGAAACTCATCTCAAACCACTCTCTCTTTTTTTATCTCACTCACAACTCAAAAAGTCACTAGCAACAGTTGGCATTATACACCAACACAGCACACTACAGCCTATTCTATAACTCATTTGCTACAGAAGCAGCTTGAGGCATTCACTCACATTCACTGTAGAAATCATAAAGAAAAGAAGGAAAAAAAAAATGAGTCTCGTTGTCCTGCGTAGCCATCCACCACCATCAATCATTAACTAGGACTTCACTTCCCATGTCTCCCTCAGTCATTTTCCTCTAGATTTATCAAATGGGGGGCACTCTCATAACCATGCCTCAACCAAGGATAATTTTCTTGAAGATTATTGTTGCCATCCTCAACAGCCCTTCTTCCCTTGTTGCCTCAACTTTGGTGTCGCTTTGAAGTGCAAGGTCTTCGTGTTTTCAGTTCCATCACATAGCTAAAAGAAAACACCTTTTTTTGGTCCAGGTAATAATACCCTTTTTTTCGCCTTGTTTTTGCTGAGTTGTGAGTACCACTGCCAAATCCAAAGGGGCCCTGGATCTTGTCTCTTGGAATCTCAATTTGATGAACAGCATTGATTTCAGCTTCAGGTTTTATTATTCTCCTAAAAATTCTACTTAAAGTTTGCCCAATTATTGCCTTAATTGCTGCAACTTGTGAAAGATTTGGTTGAGTTTGAGAGAGAGAGAGAGAGAGGAATGAAATGCTCAGAATCAGCAGAAGATTGCCAAGTATTGAGTGAATCTTTGCCTCTTTGGCTTTGTTGCCTTTTGCAAGGATTCTTGAGAGAAAAGAGTTTCATTGTAACGGTTGAAACGTTCAAAGCTGCTTTTATACTACTGCCCCGGGAGAATATTTTTCTTTATTACAGCAAAACGTGGCTGCAAGTTTCGATTTTTAAGACCCCTTGAAGAGATTTGTTGCTTATTTTTCCGTATCAACTATTCGTTAGTGATATATTACCCTGGATAACCACATTGAGCTGAATTTCCAAAATTCCCTAAATTTAGCATCCATGAAGCTTCTTCCAAGTCTAATAATGATGCTTGTTCTTGTTCTATACTTTGAATCACTTCCTAGTGTTAGGGCTCAGTCTAGTACTATTTATCCAGGGTCTTCTTCAACAAGGGAAGAAGCAAAGGCTTTGGATGCACTTCTCCAACAATATGCTTACAGGGCTTTGGTGAATCCAAAAACAGGTACCATTTACAACGCAACTCATCTTCCTTCCAATTTGACTGGGATAGAGGTTGCAGCATTGAGATTAAGGAGTGGAAGTTTAAGGAGAAAAGGGTTTCACGCATACAATGAGTTTGAAATTCCCAAGGGACTCATTGCGAGTCCATATGTGGAAAGGCTTGTTTTGGTGTACCAAAATCTGGGTAATTGGTCCACCAGGTACTACTCTTTGCCCAACTATACTTATTTGGCTCCAGTTTTGGGACTACTGGCTTATGATGGTTCAAATTTGTCAGCTACAAATTTATCAGAACTAGAGATAGATGCATCTCAGGGCCCTATATTGGTCAAGTTCAGGGAAGTAAAATCAGCCCCTCATGGTGCTGTTGCAAAGTGTGTTTGGTTTGGTTTGCAGGGTTCTTCCAATTTCAGCAATGTAACAGGAGGCAACACATGTTCTAGTTCCCAACAAGGCCATTTCTCTATAGTTGTTCCATCCAGTGCTACTCCAGCACCTTCTCCTGCTCCAAATGAGGGGCCAGCACCAAGTGCTCAGGGAGAAGGGGAGAAGGATAATAAAAAGGTGTGGATTATTGTAGGATCTGTTGTGGGAGGACTAGCATTGCTTGTGTTGTTGTCACTTCTGGTTTTGTGGATGAACAAGTACAAAAAGAAGAAGAAAATGCAACAGATGGAAAGGGCTGCAGAGGTGGGAGAAGCTCTTCAAATGGCTTCAATTGGGGATACAAAAGCACCTGCTGCAACAGTAACAAGAACACAACCAACCCTAGAACATGAATATGCACCATGACACTATATTTTTGCTTTGCACAATCTTCAGTTGCTCTTCCACTCATTCAAGTTAATTTACTGTGTTCACAAATTCTTCTAATCACACTTTTTTCCTGCCCCCGTTTGTTTGCTTAACATAGGATTTTTGTGTAAATCTGTTATCTCTTTTGTGATTCATTGTTGTGTGAATTAGTAGTAGCCAAAAGTGATTATTATGTGATAAATTCAGTTGTTCCATTGACAAAGAATAAAACTGTAGAACCTACTTGTTGGGTTATTTATCTTGCATTTACTATGCTTTTCACGTGGTAGAAAGTTGATAATTTGGTATAAATATTGTGGGCACGCAATGCTTATTCACTCAGCCACCAGTTTCCATCATTCCTGTTCATCCATTTAAGTGAGGAAGAGACCTCAAGGCCTCGATGCCATCACCTTGTTCCCGAGAAGCACACTTGGAGATTCTATGTGTACTCTTTGCTTGGCCTCTCTTGTCACTGTTTTTGTTAATAATGGTCTTACCAACAAATGGATTTAGGTAAGATGCAGTTTTTATGTTAATTATATAGTGTTTCCTTTCATGCACTATCAGGGCTATGAGAACACGTTTTACACTATCAACTAATTAGAAATCACTGTAGATATAACTTTTAAAAGAATTTAATGGTAATGTATTGATAATGTAAAATAGTGTTACATATTATGAGCCAAACAAATATCACTGGTGGTACTTATTTATTCTAAAAGTCAATAAACTCCCATAAAAAATGGTTTGTGATTGGATGATAGTATTAGAAACCATTGTAGATATAACTTTTAAAATAATTTATTGGTAATGTATTTGATAATGTAAAATAGTTTTACACATTATCGGCCAAACAAATATCATTGGTGGTACTTATTTATTATAAAAGTCAACAAATTTTCATAAATGATGGTTTGTGATTAGATGATAGTATAATTTATTCCCTCTTTTTACAATTGTTATTCTAAAAGTCAACCACATTACTATATATACATAATTTATTCCCTCTTGTATATGCAATATCAAGCAAAAATGTAATGGAAAAGCTTAGAAATTGACCATGAAGAAGCTAATGGCTTAGAATAATTAGAGTAGAAAATATAGTATTTAAGTAGCATCTGGTGATCATTGCATATTAAATTCGGTGTCTTGCATTTTGTTTCCAAAGGGACAAGTGGGCAAAGGAAAGTTACTAAAGAGAGGAAATAAATAAATACCAAAACCTGCTTTTGAGTGCTGGCATTTCAGTGGTCATCTACCCCTGAAAAGGACAATGTAATGCAAGCAAGCAAGTCAGGACAAGAAGTAAATCTGTATAGTTTTTGACAGCAGTGACTTCTTCCTCTTCCAATATTAAAAGTTTTTCTGAAACCATAAAACTTTTCAGCTTGACATTTTATTGTGCAGAGTCCAAAGACTGAAGACAGCACATGGCAAGCAGAACAATTCTTGTGCAATGACTTTCAGATTAGCATGTTTGAATTTCTGTTGTGAAAGTCTATGAACAAAAGACTTGTACTTTATAGTTTTTACTCGAACCATGGTTTTTTAAGTTCTTAATGGGAATCTAAATACAATAGAAGCAGCCCAAACACCCAAAAAGTTAATCACATTTAAATAATAGTGTTTTTTTTTCTCTTTATCAGTTGAAGTGCTACAATCTATATCTCTTCCTTGCCACTTGAGTAACACTGAGAAATATATTATGTAACAACTACTTGATTTGTTTCTATACATACCGTGAAGGGACCATAGTCATCAAAAAGCATAAGAATTTTGGACTTTAATTATAAAAGAAGTAACTTGGCGCCTTTTATTATATGTCAACTACTCAGTCTCTATAATAAACAACCAAACCAAACAAAGAAGAGAAATGGTTCTAGGTCGTATGAGATAAGATGACTTATGAAGGAAGGTATTATATTCACAGCTCAGCGCCACCAACACCTAACTATTAGTTTCAGTCATTGAAAATTCAATAATTTCTGTCTTATAATAGGAATATGTATATTTTTTATTCTAAAATTATTGTTTCACTCCATTCTTTGATGCTTGAATTTTGAGGCCACAACTCCACAAGGAGGGCACATAATGGAACAGCACATAAGAGCAATATGAATGAAACACTTGAACAATATTAAAACCTTTTTTTTAGAAAGGCTTAAATAGCTTTTTAATCATCATCATTATTATTATTTGTTTTAGTTTTACAATTTTATTTATCAGTTTGAATCCTTGAAAAATAGGATTTTTTTTTCCTCATTATTGAATTCTAGTTCCTATAACATATCGCCCATGTTGAATTTGTTCCCTTAATATACAATTTTAGGAATTAAAATTAATATAGTCAACGTATTGGAAGGATTAATTCAACATGGTCATGAATCAAAGTGGCTAAGTCAAATAAGGAAGATCAAAAACAAAATTCTATAATGCAATGATGAATATCGATAAAAAAAAATCTATAAGAACTAAAACAGAAAAGGCAGTATATTACACCATTAGACTAAAATGATATTTAACCTTCAAAAGTAAAAACAAAACATTTTAGAACTCGTGTTATATATGCAATTTTTTTTGTATTCTCCGTAATATTTTTTTTTTCTCATTCGAAAAGTTGTTCCGGATGCACAAAAGTATTTTTCTTAATTATTCATTTATCAAATTATTTTCCACCGTAACATAGTAACATGAGCAAAATGAGAGAGAAAAAAAAACTGGTTGTTGTATTGTGCCCCATGTTTTGCAAACCAGTACCACGAACCACTCACAAGGAAACAGAAAAAATGTGGTTTCAAATGATACGAGATCTTCTCTCCCTCTCTCTATTTTGATAGACCTAGGCCCAAGCATTTGTCACATTCAGAAGGTTTTTATGCTATGGCAAATTTTGGTCCTGTTACTTTTACTTGTTATAATAAGATGAACTTTAAACAGGTAAAATGTCGCTAGCAACATTTGATACCGAATACGCATTTATTTATTTTTAGTTGATCAAGATACCAGATTTCATTTTCCTAGCCTAGCTTCATCTGTTAAGCTTTGTTAAATACTTGCACAATTCTCTGAAAACTTGTACGACTTAAACAACTACGTTCTGAAAACTTGTACGCGTTAAACAACTATGTTGCAAATTCAGTACTAGCACTAGGGGTTAAAAGAACATATAAACCATTCGTGACACGTTTTGATAAATTTATGTTCGATGCCAACACTAAGTTTTCTTTTTAATTAAATTTATTTTCAAATGAGATTTGCTGGTTCCGTGTTGAATAAAATGGCATCATCTCTATCCATACTTGGTACAAATTGTAAACAACGTTGATACTCCGAGGCAAAACAGAAGTAATATAGGAAGAAGTTACCACGAGTATAGTACTGAAAGACATAACTAATCAAAAGCTTAATGTGTTAAAATGATAATAAAGTTGTTTTAATATATTACTTTGAACTTTTAATTAACGTCTAAGTTTTTATTGGCAAGAATTTCAATAATCAATACATTTTTTTTTTGCTAGAATCACATGTATCCGTTACTAATAACAACTCTATTTGAGTAAAAAATATTTCAAGATTTATGGGACTAACTCTTGAATGAAGCAATTTTTTTATTTTTTATTTTATTTTTTTTATATATATACACAAAATTTGAACACGATATTTTGCATAAAGAAAATAAGATATAGGAAACAGCTGAACCATTTACCCATTAAGGAATGGCCTGTAAATGTTTGACACTACAATAACTAGAGCTAAGAACTTTATCTTCCAACTAGATATTGAAAGAAAGAAAGCCAGCTAATAAATAGTAAATGCTTGATCTTTGAAGAGAAGAGAAAGTGAATAGAGGTAAGTAGGTAACTAGCTGCCTTACGAGAAGGGCTGGCTGACAAGTTGACCACTGGTTTTTAATACGAGAGAGAAGCAAATTATTTTGGAATAAGATCCTTATTTCTCAACAAGCATTAAATAAATAAAATTCCATCAAAATTTATGAAAATCCAAGAAAAAGGAAAATAAACATAAACTTCTCATATGACCTATTAACAAACAAAATTTGAAAGACCTAATATCATGGACTATTAATGTCTGTGTAAAAAAATAAGACTATAAAAAGTAAAGTGAATTATATATAGCAAATTGTTAATATAAAGTGTTTAGTGATTGGGGTTTCATTTCAGAAAAAAAATCGAGTTTAGTTTAATTTAATAAATCCTGACACTACTGTACGCATTTGAAGTTAATTAATATTACCTTAATTTTTCTTAGTAGTTCACATAAATACTCCTCATACAAAATGATAATAATAAATAAAAATTGGTTCAACAGTTTTCACTAGGTCTCCTTGAAAGTTGAAACCACATTGTTCTAAGCAGTGGTACATGTTAAATCTTGTGTCACACTGAAGGCCACATTTGCCATTTGGACCATTCTTATTTCCCATGAGAATCACATCCTACTTTAAAAATACTACAGTATGTCAGCGCAAGAGGTTTTACAATGCCCAACTCTAATCACAGAGTTGTGTATCCATAACATTTTGGCATTCATTTATTTGATATAGTAAATACTACTATACTAGTTGCCATGATAGCATTTTTGTTTTCAGAAATTTTTTGGCACTATGGATTAGGAATGTACGCTACTTTACATAATTATTCATCAACCGTTGACATCAACTAGCAAGATTTGTAGTCACAAGTCAAGCAAAAAATAGTCAGATTATAAAAGGCAACAAATATCTCCGAACTAAGTTTTCACAAGCCTATTTCAACCGCGAAGCTTAGCAAAGCAATTGTAATTGGAGCATATATATATTTATAAATCTGATGTTGAATTGCATACAAGAAAACAGACGGAATTTGATTCTAGTGATTCACACTGCTTCCCCAGAAAACAGCCAGAAATCCAGGCGAGCAGTTTATTTTCTTCACAATGACATTGGCAAAACAACCTGCATGTACCAGAACAAATATTATGGTTTCTATTATATATATCCATTATAATATATATATCCAAAACTTCAAGTACAAAGCAAATCAAATCTCTAGCTCAAAGTGTCTGTTAGAGCACTTCAAATTAAAGCTCTATAAACAATAATCCTTAATCAAGAAGGATATTATTATTATTGGTGAGAAGACAAGAAGAAATGATACAAAATCTCATACTGTGTTTTCAAGATAAGGGTGGAGGACAAATCCATACAAATTTTATATTCATCCATACTGATGCATGTTTACGTGAGCATTAAAAATATACAAAAATTGTCCTTTTAGTTATCAAAGTTATTCGCTACTAATTCTTTCCAAATGAAAAGATTTCACGAAAGAAAAATGAAGTACAAGGGCGTAGATGTTGTATAAAAAACCTATAGGACAAAGAATCACATGAATGACACAAATCTCAGAAAAAATGGATAATGAAACACATCCACAGCCACAAGATAAGAACTATGAAGGAGCTAGGAACACTAAGGATGCACAGACTTCTGAATAGCCATAGTGCCATACGCATCATGGGTACTTCTAGCTATATTTCATAACAATTTTACTACTACTTTTTATAATTTTACACACATTGGGATATCACAATAATAAGATAAATGATAACATTTTATTATATCTACAACAACAATAACTCGGTAAAATTTTGAAAACACCAATTTTCTCTTTTGATTTAAGATTTACATCTTATTGTTATTTCATGTGTTTTACTATGGCCTGTGTTGCATCCTATAATCTTAAAATGAATTTGACTTAACTAAGGCGACATTTGGATAGATGGAAATAAATGGAATAGAGTGAAACGAAACAATGAAATAAAACCTCCATCTCATTGTTCTGATATGTTATGATGAAAGGAAACAAAAATATTATTTCATCTCATTCCTCTCACCTGGGGGGTAGATTCCATTAGTTCCCACTATATTCCATCCTCATTTTACCAATCCAAACAATGAAACATATTACCATTATAATTCATTCCCTTCCCTTCCATTCTCACCCACCAATCCAAACACATCCCAAGTGTTGAATGGACTTTAAAAAACAAATAGCAAAGTTATAAGTATTGATTCAACAATCAACATATAAAATTGTAATAGAATCCGAGCATATATATACAACAAAATCACGAAACTATTAAAATCTCAACCACGAATTTTCAAACCAACAATCATACTTCCACATTTCCTCCCCTAAAACCCACCCTTCAAATCAGCGGAACCAAATTTAAAACAAAAAAAAAAAAATCAAAAAATTGACACATCCCACATCATAACGCGTATGGCATCCGTGCTTCCTAGAAGAAGACTCTACCATAACCTATAACCTCACAAACTCAGTAACCTCAATCATCTAAATTGTTTTGCTTTTGCATTACAACAACATCGCAAAAACCCCCAAAGTCCAAAACTAAACAAAATTTCTCCCGATCTAATTTCTTCTCCTTGAGGAGTTCGCATTGAATATTGATGGAAACCCTAGCGCAGAGTGAAATATGAAAAACGAGAATGGAGCTTACGGTGTCAATCGGAGGAAGAGGCATGTTCGACAAGCTTCTTGTCCCTTCGCTCCATAGCCACGTCCCACAAATCGTTCCCGATGTGCTTAGGCTGAAACGATTTCACATGAATCAGCAAGATCCAACCTAATTTCACGACATTGAAAAATAAAATAGAAAAAAATTACTCTGCCATGCGCGGCTCTGTGAATATAATACTGAGCGTTTCCCATAACGCAGAGCATTCCCGCTATGATTCCCAGCGGCAACACCGCTTCCATCCATCTCAAATTCATCTCCTCTTCTTCTTCTTCTTCTTCCTCTTCCTCACTCTTCTTCCAACTTCGCTCTCACCCTTTTCTTACTTTTTACTTAATGGGCCTCCTCCTCCATTCAAGCCCATTCATTCCTTTCTCTTTAATGGGCCTATCCCATACCCTGTTTGCACATGTCATCAAAATAATAATAATAATAATAATATATACAT